TGTGTTTTGGAAGTGGATCCTGCTGAAAGGCAGGCAAGTGGCCATCACATGTCTCTCCACTGCCTTGCTGGGCGTCGTGGGCTGCAGGTATTCATTGCCGTGCAGAGAAGCAGGCAGATAGCCAACAGGAAAGTAGCCAGAGCTCCATGTCTCAATCATTCCATTCCACACAGAGTGGTTGCACGGCGTGTCCGGCTAGTTCTCTGGAGGAGCAATGCATCCAGTGCCATCTCCCCACCTTCTCCCTGTGACTTCTCCTTTTCAAATAGGAATCCCATTCCTTCCTTGACTACAGTTGCCTCCACCACACACTCCCCCATATCCCAGCAGCTCACACTGCACCGTGAAGGCTTCTCCTCGTGTCTCCATTGCTTCTTTGGCCCCTCGCTTTAAATCTATTCTCTCTCGTTCTCAATCTCTGCACCAACGGGAACAGTTTCTCTCTACTGACTCTTCCAGACTTTCCTAACCATTTCATCTCCCCAGCTTCTCCTTCCCTTAGGATCCTTATCCACACTGAACAACATCACTCTTAACAGCTAATCACTGACATGCACCCAAGGGTGCCCACTTCCCATTTTGAAAATTCCCTTCTTGCCTTCCCCGTCTTTCTCCTTAGCAGGATCCTTGTGAGGTTTAACAAGCTGGTGTTAGGAGGTAGGGGACGGGAGTGGTGCAGGAGGCTTGCTGAGTCTCCCAAATCCACACCACACCCCTCGCACGCTCTCTACAATCAGTGCTGAACCTTCCAGAAGCATTTGAAATATTGTGAGCAGTTTTGCGTAGCGTATCTAAGGAAGGATGTGCTGGCCTTGGAGGGGGTTCAGAGGAGGTTTTCAAGAATGGCTTGTCATGTGAGGAGCAGCTGGGTCTGTACTCGATGGAGTTTAGAAGGATTGGTTGTGGGGGATGGTGGAATCTGATTGAAATGTACAAAATACCAAGAGGCCTGGATAGATTGGACGTGTAGAAGATGTTTCCACTCATAGGAGAGACTAGGACCTGAGGGCACAGCTTCAGAGTGAAGGGACAACCCTGAGGAGGAATCTCTTCAGCCAAAGGGTGATGAATCAATGAAAGTGCTGCAGAGGGCTGTGGTGGGCCAAATCATTGAGTGTCTTTAAGACAGAGATAGATAGTTTCTTGATTGGTATAGGAATCAAGGGTTACGGTGCGAAGGCAGGAGATTGAGAAACATATCAGCCATGATTGAATGGCACAGCAGACTCAATGGGCTGAATGGCCTAATTCTGCTCCTGTATCCTATGGGCTTATCAGTATGCCTTCCAGGAATGCAATCATCAATCTGCAGCTAAATGTACAATGAAAATCTAATCCAAAGAGTCCAAACAGTGATGCTCAGATCACCTTAGATCTTCCTCGATGTTTATACTTCAATCGTTGTGTTCGGATGTGATATGACACATCTCTGGAGCAGGTGAGACTTGAGCACGGGCCTCCGACCTCAGATGTAGAAATACGACCACTGCACCATAAAAGCCTCTATATTATCAAGTGAGGTCGTTAAACCAGCCACGGTCCCTTCCTCCTGTTTATCATTCTGATGTGAACTCTGGATCCAAACCAGTAGATGGGACAGAAAATCAGAACACCTTCCATTGTGGGTAGGGCAATTTTTTTTTTACTGACCTGTTTTGACATATTACAACACATCGCTGTAGCTGGTGGGACTTGAATCTTGTCCTCCTACATCACAACAGCCCAATGGGTAGAGTTTATTGACGACTCAGTCTTACAGCTCCTTCCAGACCCGTCAATGCTATAGGAATCCCCTGTGCACTAGGACAATTATTAGCCGTCGGACGGAGCCAGTAAAGGTGAGTGTAGGTAGGGAGTTAGGAAGGGGATAGGTCAGTCCAGGGAGGACGGACAGGTCAAGGGGGCGGGATGAGGTTGGTCGGTAGGAGATGGAGGTGTGGCTTGAGGTGGAAGGAGGGGATAGGTGGGAGGAAGAACAGGTCAGGGAGGCAGGGACGAGCTGGACTGGTTTTGGGATGCGGTAGG